TGTTATTGTTGTAAAAATTCTAAAACTTAAAATATGTTAAATCACATTTACTGACTAAAGGGAAACCCCGTTCAAATCAAAGAAGTCATCACTCCAAAAGTGGACAATTTCACAAAATATGTCCTTGTTGGGCTTCAATCAAAATCTGCAGGTAATGTGTGACAGATTATTTTGTGTGGGCTCATTGTGCAAACCAGACATGCGGTTTTAGTCCTCCTCCTCTATAGATATAAATACTATTTAATTAAAAGGGGGAATTCCAATAACTAGGGACTCACCTGCAGATATTTGGTAAGTGTTGCTGTCACCTATTGTGTAAGAGTGCATTCACACTCAATGTGTTTCCAGCTACAAATTCTCCACATTTAGGTTCAGTTGCTTGCCTGACATGTAACAATGACACTTTATTTGCATAGCAGGCTTCACTCCTGTCACTTCACTGAGTGATCAATTAACTCTGTATAGCCAACCTGGTTTTTATCAAGTGAGTCATAGTGTTTTATTCATATCGGAAAGCCAAAAAGTGTCGCTTTAGTCCCTGAGTCAACTAGATCCTCCAGAGATGCCCCCAATTAGGGGAGTGCAGGATCGAGCTGCTGATTGTTCAAGTTCTGAGAATGTTCCCGCTTTAGGGCAGGATCGCTCAGACAACAGAGGTAAGGTGAGGAGGTGCTCTGGAGCTCAGGCATGAGCAGCGGGAAATTAGAGCAGAACCTCGCACAGACTGCACCATAGCAAGGCAGAGGCGGCTGGCTGTACCCCACTCTGGAGCTACGGTAGGACAATCTTTATATTAGAGTAGGATAATGCAGACAGGATCAAGATGTTGAAACAGGGGCTGACTGTACCCCGCTCTAGAGCTGCAAGAGGATTAATTGAAGGATTTAACAGTCCTTTGAAGGCTTGAATTAAAATAACTTTTTAAAGCCACATGCAAACCTCTGAAGAGCATTTCCTACTTCATCCTATGTGAATGTGACAGTCTGCTGTCACTCTAAAGCTGTGTGGTAACTTTAATATTTTTCATTTTCAAAATGAGTGGCACATTTCAAATATTTTATTAACCTGACTTTTAGTTTATTTGCAGTGCACATATTTAGTTAACTCTAATTGTTAGTTTGTTATATTTTGGTTAAACTGCAATTGATCATTTTTTTCTTTGAGTTGCCAGTTTCCTTTGATTCTGCTGCTGGAAGGCTGCAATGAGCTTCAGCTTTCCTCTCTATTGGTCATTGCAGGCTAATCAGCAGGTCAGACTATTTGTTGTAATGGGAAGGGACATTCGTTTTGGATAGTTTAGTTAATTTGTTAAATTTAAAAAGTACTTAGAGTCTGGTGAGTATTTCTCCGTTTAATTAAGTTTATTTGTTTAATTTGTCAGTCAGTTATCCCCCATCAGCCACTATTTAAGTTTCCCTCAAGTCTTGTTTGAGAGGTCAGTTTTTGCTTGAGTTCTTTATGTTAGTACCTGAATTAAAGTATGTTTTGTTGACCTCTTTTTTTGGGCCCAGTTTATATTTTTTTTAAAACTGTTTTTAAATAAATTAAGATTTAAAAAAAAAAAAAAAAATTTCAGTGGTTTTCTGGCTGGTTTGCGTAAATCCCTCACAGTGAACATTTTTTCTATCCACGGTATTTTTTGAAAATTTATCTTCTCCGCAACGCTCTTTCAACCTGCACCATAGCCATATCCAGTCCTTATTTGGTTGCCATGGCCCAACAAGACAAAAGAAATTTCAACTCCACCGCCCATTGTGTCACAAGTGCTGCATCACCGCCGCATTATGAAATCACATAAATTGTGCCTGTCAGTGTCGCATTGCTTTGCATCGTAACACTCCTGTTGTGCACCTGTGCATATAGATAACATGAAAATCCGTCACCAAAAAATCTAAAATTTGAATAAAAAGTACATTTCAGGACTGTACAATGAAAATACCAGATTATGATTCCTTTAAAACATTGATGTCTTTCAGAAAATGTTGGCAGATGGCTTGTTATACTCAGCCAGGTTTGGCTAGTTTTTCTTTTCTGTTAAACTAAGTTTTACTTTCTGTAATCACGTGCATAGTTAGTGTGGAGCCTCCTGCATAATTATTGATTAATGCAATCAGTTGTTCCTTATCACTACAATTGCTCAAAGTAAACGACTCTGTCTAGTATCCTTAGACATTTTGCCAATTGATGAAATGCATCTAAATTTAAGTATAGATATTTTAAAAAGGATATCACTGGAATAAATGTGATTAACTATGTCTTTCTGTACAGAATTAAAAAACATTCTGTTTTCTGTACAATAATTCCAAGTTTTTTTTTTTAAACTTTAATTAATAAACTAAATTGAACAAAGGTACCACTAACAAAGCCTATTTTTGCAGGAAGATTTTTACCAATGAGTCAAGAGTTTTTAAACAGCAACTGGGTTGGAAAAAGGACCCGCCATTTGACTTAACAGCCCACAGTAAGAAAGATGGAAGCCTGTGCTTAAAACCTGTTGATCCATCTTTGGCTGCAGTTATATCATTCAGTATTTTTTAATTATCTTACTTTTATCAATATTTGGAATAAGGCTGTATCAAACTAAATGTGGAATCGTGCAACCGTATTGAATACTTTCCTGACACACTTTGGAAGTGTGGAATAAAAAAGATTTGTCTGTTCTTAGCCTCACAGGCTGCAAACAAAGGTCATGAGAGATTAGAATGAGTTCACACAGCCTCCTTCATGGCATGAATGAGAGGACTGTTGTTTTGAGAAGATCTATCTGGCCAGTGAAAGATATATAAACCTAACAGGGGATGGCCTTGATGAACTCAAGTTGTTTTTCCTTCAAATGTTTGTGTGAGAAAGCTCTTTTTGTAGGTTGGGATAGTTTCAAGGGACAGTGTGTGTATTGGGAGTTGCTGTATAAATGTATGTAGTGAGCTTTGCCCAGTCAGAGCTGGACCTCTCCCTCTGAGGACATTATATAAATTTAAACATTCTCTTGCAAGAGTCTCAGCTTCCTCCTCAACTTCACAGAAGTTACAGGGAGATGCGGTCTGAACTCCCACTGTTCTACTGGGCTTCTTCTACCCTCTTCTTGGTTTCACCTTAACACAAAAAACATGCTCTGCAGTGCGCCAAAGCATTGGTTACATTTTTAAAACGCATCAGTGTGCAGCCGGACTTTGTATCCAGACAATATCTGACGCCTTTAGATTGTGGAACACAGGTAAGGCAGTTGATATAAAGTTAAGAAATTGTCACACATAACAATTACATTAATAGCTGGATGTTTCTTAAAATATAATAGAAAAACGTTCATGTTAGCCTGCAAAAAAAAGAAGAAAATTTAATATAACTATAATAAAAATAATAATAATGACAATTATTACAAAAATATAAATGAAAATGATATGTATAATCCACCTGAAATAGAACTATAACAAAGTATATTTAAGTCAAAAATGGTGTGTTATATTTATAAAGTGTTATAGAGGGTTTTCAAGAAATCAAAGTGACTCAAAAAAATATTTGTTTAATATTTTAAGGGTGTGCATGGTGAAGTATTATTACAAATGTATTATTGTAGTTTCTTAATTTGTCCTCCCAAACAGAAACTTTCCCTATTAGTTATTATAAATCAAAGATCTTTTTAAAGGTGAACAAAGTTCTGAAATAATTGATATTGGATGCCATCTAAGATCAACCTCACACACTTGCATTTTAAAAGTGTGTTGATTTTTTTTTCTAAAGCCTACCCACTGTATATAAAAGGTAGATGTTAAGACCTTGGACTGTGGGTAATCTAGGGATTTAAAAAAAAGGCATGTGATACATTTTCTCTGTCTGCTCTAAACTTCATAAATACTTAAGAAGACCAAGCCCTGTCTTTTTGGGGGCAAAAAGTAATGAAAAATATTTACTGTAGGGGTAGTAATGTCTATGCAAACATTGATTTTATTAGCTAAATTGTTCAGCAAAAACTAAACATTAATTCTTTTTTCTAGATTTTCTATTTTACCCTGGGAGGTTATGCTACTACAGAAAGTTGTATGTTTATCTCATATGTATAGACAATTAACACCGTGCACAATTAATCGTTTATCTCTAGTTGCTGATATAAACATAACCATAATAAATTTAATTGCATACTGCCTCTCCACATTTGCTACAACAAACCAACACAGAACCACCCAAAACCACAAAGACAGCATCTCACAGGACTGTAATAGGTTACCCTCCCTCCAGTGAGGCTCTGTAGAACATGTTTGTGTTTGTTTCAGAGATTACAACACGCTCCCTTGTTATTTTTTTCACTCCTGGAAGCCTCCCCTGTTACACAGGCAAACAGATAACTCCAGTCTCTGCTCTTTAAAATAACACCATCACACCTCTCTCTCAAGTACTAGCTCCACTCCCCTCCAACTCATCGACCCTCTGCATCCTCACTATCCCTCATCTGGCCTAGTCTCTTGAGGTGGATTAAATGCAGCGACACCTGTGATCATTTCTCATTTGTGAAGCCTCCAACATCAGCGGTCCGATGGGACACAAGGCGAGAAGACTGCAGCTGCGAAATGTTGTTTTTCCTGCCTTGGTAACTGTTCTAAAACATATGTAGTTTAGTTGTTTGAATATATTAAACATAATTCAAATAAACAATAATGGAAGAAAACAGCTGAGCTTACTAGTCATTAAGCACAGCATCCTCTCTTTGAGTCTAAACCGTAACCCCCCTGGAAGATATTAGGTGCTCAAAAACATGCACACTACGAAAAGTATGTTAGAAATAAAATATATAAATATCAATAAAATGCTGGTATTAAATATTAGCTGCACTGACATGTATCTATGTGGAAGTATTCAACAGATTTGAAAATCAGGCAGAAACAATCAAATGTATTTTTAAAATTGAGGATGCAAATTCACATTACATTACATTAAACCAATATAATATAGCAGACAAATAGAGTAAGCATTAAGTGCAGTATGATATAGTTAGGGTTCAGACTTACCTGGAGTGTTGGGTGTGTTTTGTCCATGTCCCCCCATGTAAGAATCCATACCTGGTCATGTGACTTGTCATAGAGCATCTTCACTGGAAACGAATCTGTTGCTACTGCCTGGAGGATGAAATAAAGTGGGACAAAAGTTACAGTTAAAGAGGTTTTAACTAAACAACAGAATATTCTTAAACCTATACAGGAACTAAGCAACCATGAGCATCATAAACACAATATGCATTACATTTGTAGGCTACTTTAAAAAATACATGACAACATGTAATATAAAAAGGAAACAAAAATTAACTCAATTTCAATTGTAAAACTTATACTGTAGTTTCATTACACAGAGTAAAATAATTCAACCCTTCACTTATATATATATATTCATATAAATGAAAATCATGAATTAAATATACTTGAATATAAAAATGCTAAAGATAATTTAAAAAAAGGAAACTTTAAACAGAAGTATAGGTCCTCCGAAAGATTTATACATTTTAATGCCCTGATTGGGAGCTCTATAAACAGCCTATTTTAAAAGAGTGACCAAAGCTGTCAATCAGTGTTACCACTACAGCTACTTCCATGAGCTGGGTTAAGATGAGACGCCTTGCTGCTGCAACTTCTTAATAATCCTTAGTGGATTTTGATTCACTGATTTCAGCATAAATATATTTTTCCTTCCACTCAACTTTTTATGAATATTCTTTAATAAAGTCTTAAATGTTATACATTTTCACAATACACACTTTTTTTTTTTACATGATCTGTATGGTATGAGTCAACAGAAAGTTAGTCATAAGATCTTAAGTGATTATTTGTTTTAAGAAGTCAGTATGGAAAGTATAGAGTTATTTGGTTTTAGACAACATGTTTTTGCTATCCTTAGCAAAGGAAACAAACAAGCAAACAAAAAAACTAGCAAGCACTTTGAAATCTTTAAGCTTTATAATATATTTTATTTACATGTGTAAATCAGTTTTATTAAGGTATACCTATGTTTAATTGCTTTTGTACTACTTTTGTATATGTATTGTATTAGTTTTGTATTGATATGTCAAAATATAGAGATTTATTATGCCATTAGTAAGAGAATATACATGGAAATAAATCATTTACTAGACTAAAACCTGTTGGAGTTTTTGTTGTTTTAAATTTCACATATTTAACAACTTAATTCTGACTGATAGCAAAAGTCGAAAGACTAAGGACCTGATCTTCAAAGATTCCAAATAAGAAGATTTAAATTACAAAAGGAATTTTTGTGTGTGCAAGAAGTGCATTGAGGGGGATCTACAAAGTCCCCTCCTAAAAAATTAGACATGCAAACCATGTTTTATTCAGCGCCACCAACTAAAATGAGCATAGCATGATCTAATGGCATTTTGAGAGAAAGACAGATGAGGTTCAAAGCCATGGAGATGGAGGTTATATAGATAATTGTTACAAAAATATATATTTCAGGTGCACTATAATATGTATGAACCTGAAATAGGTCACCTATTTCCAAGTGCTATGAACGAAAGTAAAAAAAAAATATATTAAAAATATCTATAGTTAAATGTAGAAATCTAAAATAGCATAGAACAAGAAAAATATGTTTTTGTCTTTATATTGACATAAGAGCAGATATATCTCTAAACATCTGAATTTATATCCACCTGTTCCTCACAACAGCACCTTGACAAAACATACTGCAAAGCAAGGTATGTCCATTCTCCCTTTACTCATAAACGTGAGGGGCTGCTGCTATAACGCAGACGCTGCAATGGTCTGTTGTGCTAAGGAGAAAGGTTAGAAAAAAAAGTAAAGCTCCTGATTCACCGATCGGTCTACATTCCTACCCGCATCTACATTCATGAAATGTTGTTTACATGCACACAGAATCTCTCCCCATTGTCTGGCATTGTACCAATGTTTACTTTGTAGCAACACTGACTGCATGTTTAACTTTAACATACTCTCTACAATTAATATGCACAGTTTGCATATTTGCATCTGCATATTGACGAAGTTATTTTTTAAACATCTGCTCCGCGCATACACTTTTATTTTTATTATAATTTTTCTTTTCTGGGGTAAAAAAAAAAATCACTCTGACAATGCCAATGTATATTAATATTTTTTGGCACCATAGGTCTGTGATGTGTAACAAGTTATTAACCAGCAATGTAACAACAAGAATATATTCGATAGCTATGCTGATAAGGCTTGCTAATGAAGAATTCCAAGTTAGGGTGGCTCTCAACCAACCATGATAAACTTTGCATGAACCATGTAACAGACGTGTGAGCTCTCAGAAATATATTTTTCTGTCTGACTAACAAAGTCAGCAGAGTAGTTGCTGCTCGAGGACAACAATAAAATGAAAAAAAAGGAGAAGGTACAGAAATAGAAGTCTACTGTATATACTGTATCCTGTACTTCTAAGGTGTTGCTGTTGGAGAGGTTTTAATGATGCTGTCTGAAACACAACAGAAGCAAGAATAGAAAGAATCAACAATCATCTGCTGACATGGTGGAGGGGGAAGGAAAAGGAAAGAAAACTGAGGAAAAGGAGCGTGGGATAGGCGAGATGGGGGAATAAACTCAACCTTAGATCTGCTGCAACGTCAACAACAAGGAATAACACAATCCATTACCCTGGTTCTGGCCAGTCGGATGGGGAGCTGCTGACACCCTCGCCAGTAGAGCGAGACCATGAGCTCTGTTGTCAGTAATGGGAGGTGCAGCCCTCTGCTCTGCTCTGGTCAGCCAAGTGTCAACTCAGCATGTGCCTATGAATGGTTTGAGGGGAAGGTGGGCACAATGTGTGTTCGCTCTGTGATGGGATGCAAAGGCAAAGCTGAGGCCAAGCCCTCAATACCACAGACTTAAATCCAGTGGGCTAGCAAAGGGCCATAGGATAAACAATGATAGAAGGGGACAGACATTTTTTTTTTTTTTACAAGACCTTGATTATAATTATAATTTATATCTAGTTTTGTTGTTTTTTTCTCATACATTTTTCTGTGATGGAAATGCAAAAAAGTGCTCTTTTCTGTTTTCACTGGGTTCATTTTTTTATACCTTTGTGGTAGACTGTATAACTCAACTGTATTAAAAATGTTTAAATTCAGAAAGTTAATAGGATCGGATCACATAATTTGACAGTAGTAGTTTTGCAATATTTACTGAACTATAATATATAGTACAACTAACCCCTTCCTTAGCCTAAGATTAAACTAAGTTTCATCTTAAAGAAGACCTTTATTTGTGTTTTGTGAATATGTCAAATGATTGTGAGTCTATGGTGTGTGCATTTTTTTAAGTTAGTTGTTGTTTTTTTTTACCTCCATGTGGATTTCCAGAGAATTGATTGTTTCCACCTATAAAATGGTAATCTTCCTTGGCCCACATTCTTGGTTCTACAGGTACCTTGTGGGAGCATGCATCAGGCATGCAGTGCATCTAAATATCTGCCTGCAGATGATAGGGTAGGATGGTGCAAAAAAGGTTTCAAACTTAAATCTTTCAGGTATTGAAATACTTCTGAGGAATGTTTGCCCTCTGTATTTTGCAGAAAAGCTTTAATTCAATCATCAAAGGTTTTGAAATACTGTGATGGACACTAGACCTGTCCAGGGTGAAACCCATCTTTTGCCCAGTAACTGCTGAAACCCTGGCAGATTACGTAAGAGAAGATAGATGGAGTTGCTGAAATATAAGCAGCATGTTTTAGGTTATACTAGAGAATCTCAAAAGGATTAAATGTCAAATATGGCTTCACCAATCCAAAAGTTCATATTGTCTTTTGAGTCATTTAGAGTTTGACCTTGCTACTGTCCGTTTCAGTAAATGTCCTCCTGCAGAACTAAGGTGGGGTTTTTACCTAAGATTTTCTGTTATAGAGCAGGATCCCTGATTGCATGGATTACCATAAGTTGACCAAGTCCACATGACACAAAGGAGCCCTCAACCCCCACCATCACTACCAATACCACCACTAGAATTGACTAGCAGTATGATTGTGCAGTTATAAAATGCTCTGTTAATTTTAGGTCAGGTATAATACTTCAAAAACCTTCCAGAAGGTTCTGATTTCTTCGCCGCTGTCCTAGGGATTTTTTTTTTTTTTACCAAATGTCTTTTCAATATTTAAGCAATGGTATTGGCTTTGGAACTCGTTGGAGGATCTCATTTTTGCCAAGTCTTGCTTCTCTAATGTTGAATCCTAAACTGTTAAGTGAGGTCTACAGAGTTATAGATAATGTTTTGGGTTGTTTTGTGACCTACTAGTTCCAACATTGTTGTCCTCTTGGACTAATATTTTTGACCAGGTACAATTCATTTCACAATGCATGCCATAATAAGCCACAGAGAGACTGGTAAAAAATTCATTATTATTTTAACCTCAATGATTAGGGTTAAAGCCAGAATCAATCACTGACTTTCCCTGATCTGCTCCTTCTGGATGAACAGATAGCAAAAGTGGACATTTGCTTGCACTGAGTCATTGACTGCAGAACTCCTTCACACCCAGTATGAATGTAGCAACAGCAGACAGGAAAATGTCGCTTTTAACAGGAATAAACCTTCAGCAGAACCAGGCTTAGTGTGAGGACCCTACTGCCAGTCTGGACAGGGTTTCAATATAACCATGGAGGTTTATAGGGGAATGGACTTTTGCTCCCTGCCCACAAGGGCACTTTTGGTGAAATTATTTATTGATACATTAATTTTGTTTTTTTTTTCTGCAAGTCCTCTGACACCTGATGAAGACATATTAACATTGATTTAGACTTAGGTAACTTTTATTGTCATTGTGTATTTCAGTGTATACAAAACTAAATTCTGTTTTGTACAGCTTTCAGACATTGAATAAGCAGCAGCTTAGCAGTGATGTGAACATTTTCATTTAATAAAATATAAAATATAATATAATAATAATATTTAGTATTGTATTTTAAGAGAAATGAAAATGCTATTAACAATTGTTCTTTATGCAGCCAGAGGCAGACTATAGAGCCTAAACTGACTTTAAGACAGATTTTACAAGATTTGTTGGTCAATAAATAGGTACGCAAGAGAAAACTATGTGTATCAGCCAGAGCACCTGTCCTCTTTGTATAGATTGT